GGAGGGCAACAAGGATGATCCGGGACTGGAAACAAAGCCCTGCTGGGAGAGATGGGAAGAACTGGGCATGCTGAGCCTCAAGAAGAGAAGACCGAGGGGAGAGAGGATAGCCCTCTTGAAGGGCTGTCACAAAGAGGAAGGCCAGGCTCTCTTCTCCATCATCCCACAGGGCGCGGAATAGCAGGCTCAGGTGACAGGAAGCCAGGTGTTGGCTAAATATCAGGAAAAACCCCCTCGCTCTTAGAGCGGTACAACAATGGACGCCATGCCCTCGGGGTGGTGGGCTCTCCCACACGGGAGGCATCCAAGGTGCAGCCGAACATCCACCTGAGAGAGGAACTTGCTTGGGAGTCCTGCACTGAACGGGGGTTGGATCCATTGGCTCTCTGGCCCCTTCCAGCTCCACTGTTCTGTGATTTGCAACTTGCCAAACTTGCCCATGCATCCTCTTCTTCTTCCTCCTCCTCTTCCAATATTTTGATCACTTAACGCAAGGCTGGAGTAATTACAAATTTTCAGGTACTGTGAAATTAGGTCATTTTGTAACCCTTTTAAAGATCCCAGCTGAAAGTTGGTGAGCAATTATGCAATTGAATCAAGCCAATTAGCTGTTGGAAATTATTAGCAACACTTTGGGAAGGTGACATTCTTGCCCAGCTCTCCTGTCCACGCGGCCACCCTTTGTGAAAATCTTGTTGCAGGGCGAGTTTGACAACAGTGCGGACACTCTCCGGTTCCTTCATCTGAGGCTGGTTCTGCCCAAGCAGCTCCTGAACTCCTGGAAGTCCCTCCATGGACTGCAGGTCAGCCTGCAGCCTGCAGAAGACACTTCCCCTTCTCTTCTTGTTGCCGTTCAGTTGTGTATTTCATAGTGGAGAACTCCAACTGCTTTTTGCTAAGGCTGCAATTCCATGTCCTGGGCAAGGCACGCCAGGAGATTCTGGACAGAGGGGATCAGAGGTCAGTCTCACAGGCCTCCCCATTAAAACCAAACAGGGTTGTGATTGCATTCCAAGCTCCCTCACTCTTAAGACCTGCCGGCTCCGTATTGCCTAATAGCGGTAGCTCTGAGACTGCAGGTGTCCTGGCTCACCTAGAGCAGCTGCGGGTCCTCAGTTGTGGCTGGACTATTCACCTGGCTGAGCACGTGGAGCATCCGTGCAGCGCTCTCCAGGAACTGAGCCCCATGCTGCCACGGCGCAAGCAGCGTCCTGTCGTAGCAGCCTTCGTAGCGAGTGACATGGGAGTTATGCAATCTTTGTTCTATGAGTGCTTACAAACTTCCTTCCCTAGCACTCTACAAGTACCCGAAAGGCTGTCACAAAGAGGAAGGACAAGCCCTCTTCTTGTCCATTCCAGAGTGCAGGATCTGGAACGATGGACTCAAGTTAAATCAGATTTAGACCAGACACCCAGAAGAGTTTCGTCACTGCCAGAGCAATACAGCAGTGGGACCGGCTGCCTGGAGAGGTGGGGGGCTCTCCCACACTGGAGGCCTTCAAGGAGAAGCTGGGCAGCCCTCTGGGTGAGATGGTGTAACGTGGTGTCCTGCAACAGCAGGGGTTGCACCCGAGGGCCTTCTGGCCCCTTCCAACTCTACTGTTCTAGGATTCTAGGATCCCTCCCAGCTTGGCTTGTTTTCTAAGACAGGGCCAAGAAAAAAAAGATGTCCACAAATGTTAGAGGGACAGATTCCATGTGATTTCGTCCCAACCTGCTTGTCAACTGATGTTTCCTGTTGGTATGAATTGAGGCTACTCTTCTGCAGATCACATGCCACCTGCTTGCACGGACAGCAAGCACACCTGCTCCTTTGCCGTGGGGAAAGCGTCCTTGGCCAGGTACCTTGAGGTCAGGCCAGCAGCCTTCTTGCTAGGAAATGTGTAGTGAATGCATCACCAGGAGTTTTAGATAGCTCCCCTCCTAGGAAGCCAGCAGATGGTAAGAGTAAATTATTTACCACCAAGAGCAGATGCTGGCCAATATCCTGCAGATGCGACGGAAGCCAAGAGGAAAATCTTGAAATCTGAGATCTAGATCCATCCCTTCACCCATCCATTAACCCATCAGTGGTGGGCAGGATTCAGCACTACGACTAAATCCTTAAAAGTTCAGACCTGAAATGGGCACAGTTGCCCCACTGCATTGAGGAACCTTGCGCATCTCAGTGTAAAAGACTTCTGACTCAGGATTCTGAGCCAGGATCGCAGAGTTAGCGGCTGGGTCACACGCTTCCACCCAACACGCACGGTTCCCTCTTGCTCTGTAAAATGAAAATGCTACAACAGCGGAAAGACCTCCAGCAGCCACAGCGAGAGCAAGAACAGTCCCACTGTCCCCTCCCGATTGCGCCACAGATCCTTAGGGCCAAGTTTTGCCATGTGGACTTTGGGATGAGAAGCGTTTTTTGGAAGGTGCTGCAGTCACGGCCCTTCCTCATCCACAACCTCGAATGTGCCACTTTCATTTGAGAGGGAGAGAGACCCAGAGGAGAATATGCATGCGGAGTCCAGTGGCTGGAGGTGTGTGAGAAGTCTGCCATGGACTGAAATGATCTCACATTTCTATGCTCCGACCAGTGGGTGCCACAGTGCGATGACGTTTTCTGAGCTGCAAGGGCAGCTGCAGACTTGTGGGCCACTTTTAAAAAGCGTTTGCAGTGCGGGGAGGGGTGTGCACAAGTGCGCCTTAGCCCAGGTGCTCGTTCCAGCTAATCTGGAACTGGTTTCCATGCACCGGGCCAAGGTTTCGCCTTATCTGGATCCCGCGAGGCAGCCCGCTCGCCTCGTCTGAGGGGAAGCCCACCGTGGCAGGAAGAGAAAGGCCTGAAGAAGGATCGGGTGCTGGCTTCCCAAAGTGAGCTCAGCTAATTCAGGCCAGGCCCAGCAAATTGCCAGCCATCGCTGGAAGGGGAGATCAAACCGGCTTCCACATTCATCATTCGGATTTTATGGAATGCACTTTCTAAAGGTCAGGAGTTACTAATTAAGTGGAGATTGCTGGAAACCGACAGAGATGAACTGCTTAAAATAGTCACTGAAGAGGCATTCATCACCAGAGGGGAGCAACACCAGGGAGTGTGGCTCGCAGTGGAGTCCCTCTCGTCCGCGGCGGCTGCAGCCTTCTCCCCCGTCCGCCTTGCAGCGAAGCGTGGCTGGCTAGGAAGAGGTGCGAGTCTTTCTGCCAAGCTGCACTCAGGCGAAGGCTTCTCCGGGGGACTTTGCGCTCCGTGGCCACCCTTACCTGCTGGGAGTTCTTGAAAGGGAATGCAGATTTAGGAAGGCTTTGCATTCAGAGGGAACTGGGGGGTGTCCTCTATTTGCAGGGCCACCCAGACCTTTTATGTAAAATCCCAATCCAGATTCTACATAAAGAACCCTAAGAAGGGAGAGCGCAGCATGCCAGCCTCCTGGGCAGCAGCACACCAGTCACTGTGCTCCTCACTCCAGTGCGGCGCATGGCATTCCTGTTGCAACGGTAGCCATTCTTTTTAAATGTGCATTTGTACATATACATTCGTTCACGCAAATGTTCTGCAAACCTGCTGCCTCCTTTGCCCGGTTTTGGGGTTAGGCAGTTCCTCTTTTCTGAGTGATGCACAAGTCGCCATCTCACAGGACTTCCCTGATGTTACCTGCAGCATCTCTGGCGGTTGCGGGTGGTGGGCTGGGGTGGGAGAACCTCAGGGCACGTGTGCGAGGGAGTGGTTTGAGAGCCATCTGCTGAGCTTGGTGGGCTATATTGCTCTGCCTCCTTCCTCCCTTCACGTCTAGCTTTGCAAAGGATGCCTCTTCCAGTTAAAGAGCATAGATTTGGTCTTGCAGATCTTGCTTTATATCTCTGGGATTAGTTGAAGGCTTGTAAAGAGTGTGGCCTTCTCCATTTGCTCTGGAGCTTCCACTCTGGCCAGTGCGAAAGTCTTCTTGCCTGCTTCCTCTCTCTACAAGGATGGCAAGAGGCTCTCGGCACAGGAGAACAGGTTGAATTCCAGCATTTCTACTGTTAGAGTTGCGTGGCCAATTCCACTCGGATCCACTTTCTCTCGTGGAATTGACCATGGGGCGAGTCAATCAAGAACCGGTGCAGAAAGGTTTTCATGGCAGACACGAACAGAGGCTGGGAGCTGGGCTTCCCCTTCCTCATTTCAAGCAATAGACAGTCACTCTGCAAAAGAGCCCTCGATTTCTGATTCACAGCTAACAAACGATACCCAATGTACTATAACCAGCTCTGCTCTGTGCAGGAACAAAGTGCTTTGTTGAATCCAAACTAGAAACTATTTCTGAAAACCCCCTTTTTCAGTAGCCCTGGGCCCGTCTGGAGGAGGAGTAGCCTAGAGTTTTACAGACTCTCAGGCTGGGCATCCCTTCTAGCCCAACATTATGTTATGAAGTCCAGATCGGACTGGCCCTGAACCTGTCCTCTCCCTCTCCTTTGTCCCCTCCCGTTGCTTCCAAACCTGCCCGTTCCCACAGTCTGCCTGAGCACCTGGAGATGTAAAGCAACGCAACCTGCATTCTACAAATACTTGTCTTGGTCTCTTTGCAGGAAACGTAAAGTTTATTTATTTAGGAGACTTCTATGCCGCCCCATTCGCCGAAGCCTCGGGGCGGCTCACAACCATAAATAAACTTCAAAATAGAATAATATAAATTAACAATATAAATTGACAATATAAATTAACAATATAAATTATTTGTGGTGTTTGATGGTTCTGGCTCCGGAACTCAGCATCAATGTTCTTTTAAATACAAGGCATGTCTCTCCCTTACCATTTGCAAATGCCAGGGGAGGGTCTGCAGAAGCCTCAGAAGGTGGTGGGAAGGGCCCATGATAAAGATTCGTAAGCAAAAGATCAGGGAGAGAGCAAGGAGGTGAATGTGGGTTTGGAGTTATGCTGGAGGGGCAGAGGGGCAGGATGCTGCTCCACGGTTAGCGCTAGAGGGGTCCCTTGCCAGATGTGCATTCAGAATAGACAGGCCGTCAACCCAGCCTCCCACCGCAGTATGTACGAGATGTAGGCGATGACTCCAATGGACCAGCAATCCACGGCTTTGCTGTAAGGCTTCTGTGCCAACACCTCAGGAGCCACATAGCCAAGAGTCCCACATGCGGTGGACGTGACACTGCCTGAGCCTTCCATCTTCGATAGCCCAAAGTCACTAATCATGATCTTGGAGTCTTCATCCAGACTGCAATAGAGCAGTTATGCTTTGCCGGTTCTTTGGGATGAGGCCTGCTTCAGCTCGGGAAGTTGCAGGCTGGGACCGACGCAGTCTGATTCTGCTCAGACTTTGGCCTCTCTCTCACACACCCACGCTTTCCATTTTTTAGTTTAATATAGCTTCAGAGGACTGCTGTTTATTTTGTGGCTGCAGAACTGTTTATGCCAAGCATAGCTGCATATTTTTCTGCAGAGTTAAACCTGAACTGCATGGAGATTGGCCTTGAAAGCAAGCACTTTGGAGACTGCAGAGCCTAGGAGGAAGCTTCCCTGTGATCGCCCAGCACATCTGTCCTCTGGTGCCTGCTCGGGAAGCCTTAACACAGCCAAGGCTTTGACGGATTAGGGATCAAAGCTTTCGCAAGTGTCCAGAATGTGGTAGGCAAGCAAAGGGCAAGCCTTCAGCTGCTCCCAATCACTCAGCTTCCCTTTGAAAAGGACCACATATCCACGCAGCTTGTTCTCTTGCACTGATGCAGCCGATTCGATGAGGGCTGGAAATGCTGGCACGTTGCCATGGACCCAGGAAACATGAGTATCATTGTCCCATGTTCTGCTTTTGCATCAGCAGCTCCTTCAAGGTAACTGCCACCCACTGGCATATAGAAAGCCCTCTCCCCAAATCCTGGAGGAAGTCCCTGCATTCTCCATCACTGACCCCACTTAAGGGCCCAGACCCACACACATTGGGACCACAGAGAGTGCCTGGTTTTAAAACCTGGATCTTTTTTCTTGAATAATCAGCATATTTCCTCCAAAGCTCCCCTAATCCCAGTGCCCTTTCACCACTTGGGTCTAGAAAGGTTAAATGTGTCCATAAGATACTGGCTTTGTTTTGGTTTAGACTCCTAAGTGAAGGGAATCCTGCTTACTCAGGCACCTGGTCTTTTAACATACCTTTATTGTTCCATTTGATTTTTCATCTGGTGCATGATTTGGTTTAGCGGATAGATTGCTGGAGTTGTTCCTAACTTTTCCTGTGGTGTTTTAGCTGCAATTCAGAGCTGCACTGGTGTGTTGCTCTGTTGCTGGCTTAATTTTCTTTCCCTTTCTTTGAGATGTATTTATTTATTGACAGTCCTCTGGAGTGGCAGGTATGGGAGAAAGGAAACTTTCAGGCGTTTCAGTACTTGGATAAATCAAGACGCATGCCTATCAGTGATGCAGTGCCGAACATTTCTTCATACTTTCCCCGACCCTTCTCATTCCATTTCATAGCAAGTCAATTTCTTTTGAACCTCTGTTTTACAGGAGGGGAAGATGTCAGAGAAATCCTCCTGGGTTGGGTTTGGACTCTCGTTTTTACCTGACTGATGAAGTGGTGGAGGAATTTGTGAATTGTTCCCTTGTTCCTTGCCCGCTGCGTGGTGAGCACATCCCTGCCCTTTCCCTCTCCCAGCAGGTGAAGACAAAAACCCACTTGTTTATTTTGACTGGATGGGTTTGTGCTATACAGAGTGAGTAAAAGAGAAATAGTTAAGTAGCTTAAATCAAAGTACCGTTCCCTCTGGTTTAAGGGGGAAGCTTCTGCCAATGTTAGAAGTTGATTCCAGAAGTGAAGACCCCTCCCCCCCTCCCCCAAAAGTCTGCTTCACGCTCGAGGGGGCTCACGTGGCTTGAAGGTGAGACAGTGGGGATGCCAAACGCTCCTTGGCTGGTCCACTCATTTGTCTTGACGACGGGTCACGCAGGTGAGGAGCTCAGACCTTCTCTGCCTCTCCCCACAGCCCAGAGGTGGTTTGGTTCTCACCAGCAGCTTGGCTCACCTTGCTCCTTGAACTTGAGATTTCAGTAACAGATCTCAGTCTAACCTCTCCTTCATCTAGTCCCTCTGTCTCGGGGATGAACTTTCCAGCACTCCGAGGGATGTGGGCCCAGTCTGGACAGTCCGCAGCCTCTGCGGAAGGCTTTCGTTGCGGGGCGAGAAAGGCTCCGGGAATCCAAGGGCAGATCCTGGCCCAGAAGTAGCTCCATCCATTTCCTGGAGCTGCACTCATGAATGAGCTTGTGGAGGACCCAGAACGGGGTTTGTGACGTCACACAGCTGAGCCTGTTGCGGGTTGCAATGGCAGTGCAAAACACAAACACCCCCACGCACGCACGCACGCACGCACGCACGCACGCACACACCTTAGAGGCTGCGTACAGATCCTGCCAAAGCTGAGCCCTGCGTTGGGACACAGAATGTCTCCTCCAGTAAAATGCTTCCCCCTAGTTTCTCCATCCAAAACGAGGGCGACGGGTTTCTGGAGGCCACAGGCACACTGCTTGAGTTGTAGCGCTCAGCTGTGCACACGGCATCTCTGGCTGGCTTCAGGACCTCATCAGGGACATGTAAACAGCTCCTAGCCTCATTGCCTGTTATTTAATCATCATGTTTAAAAGGCCAAGCAATGAGTAATCCACAACCCTCTTTGCTTGTTGCTGTGCCACGTGATGGGGAAGCGCTCTCGAAGTCACAAGTGTCTCACTTGCATCTTTGGTTGTGCATCATCTCTGATAAAAGATGAGTCATGGCCGTCGTTAACACTGATTCCAGTATCAACCAATTTTGCCAGCTATTCAGAATGTCAATTGATGGGACCTTGGCTGAGCCTCTTCAGTAAGTGGCTGGAAGGCAGCAGACGGTACATCAGTGTAGGATGGAACAAGGTGAGGGCGGGATGAAAGGAAGTGGCTTTTCAAGGCACGGCATCCCACATGTCTCTGCATGAGTTCAACCCAGTTTAGCCCTTGCAGCAGAATGGAATCAAATGCTTTTAAATCAACGTTCTTCAACTTCATCCAAGTGTGGAGCAGGCCAGGAATATCCTCCCTGGGTTTCCCTGTCCTTTCTGTTCCATTTTGCCCATTCCCATAAGTTCTCATCTGTACCATAAACTTGCAGTTAAATTTGGGTTCTGTTTCTCTAAGCGCCAGGGCAAAAACAGCTACTCGAGTACGCTTGCGTATCCATGATAAACAGGGATGCACGAGGATTTTGGTTTTGTTTGTAAAAACATGTGAGGGCACCTGTTTCGAAACCCAGAAAGTGAGGACATGGATCTGCCCACTGTATGTTTTCCTAAGTTGTTGATCATGTTCTATAGAGTAGAACAGAACAGAACAGAACAGGAGTTGAATAGAATAGAGTCAAATAGAGTAGAATAGAAGAGTAGAATAGAGTTGAATCCCATCGAATTGACTTGAATCATAGAGTTGGGACCTAGAAGGCCATCAGGTCCATCGGCTCAATGCAGGACTTAAGTCCTCCATCCAAATACTAACCAGGGCTGAGCACTGAGCTTCTGAAATTAGGCAGGATCAGGCACTTCCCAGTCGGCTTGGCACAAATTTCCTTCATGGAGTGAATCAGACTCATTTTCATCCAGGGAGGAAAGCTGTACAAATTAGGGCATTTTCATGAATTTGGAGGATCTCACGCAAAGCGCCCATTCAAGCCACGCACTTCCTGTTCGTGCAGAGGGTGCGGAGCCTGCAAAGGCAAATGGGAAAGGAGCAAGAGACCCTGCAGCAGGATGCCGTTTGTCAGGTCCCAGCAGCCTCGAGCATCGCTTGTTGCCCCAATCCTACTGCGAACGAACGACATCACTAATTTCTGAATCATTCAGGCCCATTCTTCCCACTCCCACGGTACCATTGTCTGTAATGATTAATGGCCACTCTACAGAGGGGAAATCCTACTTAGAGTAGACCTACAGAAATGCAGAAATGGGATGTAGGTTGGCCCTGATTAACATAACTCCTGGTTTACTCTAGGTTGATGTTAGCTGACCTCCCACAAGGTCGTCTCCACCACCCATCCTTCCCGCACCCAACCTCCCCCTCTGAGTCAGACTGTATTGGCTTTTATGCTATGAGTAACAGGATTCTCTGACACTGAAAAGAGGCATGGTAAGGAAAATGGACAATTCCAGCTCCATGGCTCAGGGTCAGAGGGGTCCTGGTTGCATCTCCCATTAATGACTTGCAGGTCTGTGCCTGCCTCTGGGTGTAACTTCAGATAATTTTTAGAAGCCGTGGAACAATTTAACTCCCTATGTTCTTCTGAGAGTCAAGATTCTGAGCTGGGAATATGTTCCTCTCCATGGGCTATTATGGAAGCTGGAAGCCTTAACCCTCTTTTCCCCTGGCTTGCTTCCCTCGGTCAGAGCAAAGCAAGCTATGGGTGTGCACAGATGCGCTCTTTCTGCAGCGCATGTGGGAGAACCTACTGGATGAACCAACTGGATCGTTCTAAAAAGGGGTGAGGGACCTTCACTGCCATCAATGGGTGCCAATCATAACGGCTATATATGGTTCCAGTGCCTGAGGGAGAACGTCTCTGCACACCAGTTGCTGGGGAATGGACCGGGGAGGCACTGCTGCTGGTGGGCTTCCCATGGCCCTCTGGCTGGCCACGGCAGCAGCAGGACGCAAGGCCGGGCCGGGTTGGCGTGTGACCCAGGAAGGCTTTTTCTTGGCTGCTTCCTTGCCTAATCTTGGAAGCTAAGCAGGGTCAGGCCTGGGCAGAAGTGGGATGGGTGACCTGAGTGTATGATTCTATGAGTATTGCTGTCAACTGCCTAGAGAGCTTTGGCTATGGGCAGTATAAAAATGTAATAACAATAATAATAATAGAAAATAATAATACATTTGCAAATTTGATTCTGGAAGTATGTGAAATGCAGCAGCAGCAGCATCCTGTTTCTGATCTGTCTCCTGTAGTGGAGAGGATGCTTACCAGCAGGCTAAAGGAAATAAATGAGGCCTTTCGGATGGCGTCCCTCAGGGGCTTTCTTAAACCTTGGCATGAGGTGCCCTTGAAGCTGCATCTGCCTCCGATTTCCCAAAGTGCTTGTTGATTGAATGCATCAGCCCCGAAGCTGGAAAAGAGCATCATTCCAGGAGTTTCAGGACCGGAGGGTTGATTGGTCCGAGTGCAGAGTGGAACCTTCAGCTTCTGGCGACAGCCACGGGGTGCTTCGG